TATTCATGCAAGAAGTTATCAAATTTTCTTCATTACCTATAAGTTCATTATCTAATTCCTTATCCAAAAATTCCTCTATTTCTATATTTTTTAAAAATTCTTCTGTATCTTTGAAAAAACTCTGATTATTTTCACTATCTAAATTAGATATTTTAATATTATTCTGTTTTACAAGATCAATTTTAGATTGTTGTGCAAAGATATCATTATATGTAGAGTTGGGTCCCATAGTTTAGTTAGTTAAGTCACCAACCCTCCACAGACAAGGTTAACAGTTTGAGTTTAGTTGGAGGCATTTGCTTCTGTAATTCTTATAAAAACTATTAATCGAATGCGAAGCCCTGTAGTAAGACTCATATTAAGTACAAGATTCTAGAAAAGGAATTCCCAGAAGGAGATCGATATTATAGAGCAAGTTGGTATTATGTGTAATATTTAGTGTCACAGAAGGTTCTGTTACATGAGTATTGCGCAAATAAGTCCTCAAAGGGTTAGGCAGCACTAATATCCCAGCAGTTGGGAATTTGCTTAGAAAGGTGACATGAAGATAACATGAGCTAGAGTAATAAGCAAAGCGATGAATATAATAGAAATCTGTGGAAAAAGATTGTCCTAACTAGATGTGGAACACCTCTGGTACATGTGAAAGCTAGAATTAGCAGGTCCTGGTTCTATAGAGAGTTAGCTACTATCTAGAATATGTATAAAAATCTGAATTGGCAGGAAGCACTAGGCTAGTAGTGCAATTATATATCTGAGTACAAGAACATACCAACATTAAACACCAGCTAATGCAGATACAAGTTAGAACTAATACTACGTATTACAAACCTAGTTGGAAACAACTTCAGTTGTGAAATATAGCCTGTATTCTATCAACACACAAGAGTATCTGATATTAATAGTTACATAGCATATGAACACAGTTGTATATCATAAAACACTGGTATCTCTATGATCTACAGAAGATGTTAACAAGTTGCAGGCCTAGGCTTTAGTCATGAACATACTAACTAGGAGATATAGAGTTAGGCAGTAAAACTGGCTAGACACCAAACAGAGAGTTATCCATGAGAATTGACAATACCCTATGTAGCCTATTAAACCTGTTTGGTAGTATCTCTATATAAGTATGAATGATGCAGGGAATATAGTGATAGTGATCTAATAATAATAGTCATAGCATAAACCCTAATTAGAAAACTATAATAGGTAGTATAAATTAGGTCTAGAATACTTCGTAGATAAATTAGTCCTAAGGTTTATATATAGATTTGAATATATTGTAATTGTTACTTGTAACAAATTATAATAAATTTAATAAAGTATATGGCCATAGAGGTTACTTGTAAAAAAAATAAAATAAAAAATAAAAAATATTATCATATATATGTATTGCTAAATCAGATTGTATTCGATGATAATATGTAATGTCTGCATGCAATTTGCTTATTTGTAAAGCTTTTTTAAGCTAATATAATTTAGTAATATTTAGTAATTTTAAAGTTTATATATATACATTTAATCTGAAATGAAATCTAATTATTTAAAATTATATTCTGAACTAATATTAGAAATCTAAGATAATTTCAATATTTTCATACTATATCAAACTTAATTAAATAATATTCTCACAAATTATTAAATGTCATGAATTATAGTAAAATTTGGATCTTCTTTTTAAATATAAATTCTACTAAAATCTATTTGTAAATAACTCTAACCCAACTCTAAATAAGCTAAGAAAATGCACTTCAAAAAAATTTAAATTTTTATATTAAAATAGGTCTAAATTTTACTATAATCTGATTTTACTATAATCTTCGACATTAAATATAAGAGAGTACTATTTAAAAAAAATAAAATAATCTCAATTCAGAAGTGATAATAACATTAGTATATAGAATTTCTAATACTGTTCCAAATTTAAATTTGATCTTTCTAAAAAATAAATAGTTTCAGGTTACAAATATTATATAATATATAATTAAATTTACCACTAAATGATTATGTCTTTTAGTTTGTAGGAATCCTATACAACTCCAAAGTCACTCTATAGTAGTAGTATTTATATATATCCCAAAAATCTAAGTCATAACCAAATCTAATTCTTCTGTTAATAAATTTGCAAAACACCAATATTGATAGATATTACCTGAAAATTGATTCTATGTATTTGAATTAAAAGAATACTTTTTCAAATGAAAATCATTAAATTCTCTTAAAATTTGTCTTGAATCCTTTCCAAACTATACATGATAATAATATACTAGCCAAAGACCAAAGTTAGTATAGTTAATATTAATACGAAACTACTCTATATAATAATTGGAATATAAAAAACAAATAAAAATTAATAAAAGTTGTTTCTAATCATTCTATCAATGTTTTAAACATAATATAAGTTAAATGCTAAGCTGCACGTTATTATAATTATTCCAAAATTGAACAAGGTAGTCTAAACTTCAGATAACCTGATGTAACTGAGCTTTGTCAGATTGCAATTTATTTAAAATCATGCAATATAGCCTAAGAATATTAAATATAGAATGAATATTAGTCTAAAAGTTTGCAGAACTAATAATTTCATATATTTCACACTTAAGTTTGCAGTTTATTTTAGCTTGTAGAATTTTGCTAATTGGTAGCTCAAACTTAATTACAAGAATCTAATTAAAAAAATATATATATTAACAAATACTTATCAATCTAGTCTTTAAGTAAATTTAGCTTAAACTACTTAAAAATCTACTTACAGCTGTTTTTATAAATTTTGAGCTACCTAAAAATTTATTCATTTTCTGAAATCTCTTTAGTTTCATTCTGTGAATTATCTAACTCTTCAGAAACTATATCACTATCTTCAGAACTTTAGTCTGAAAATAGTGATGTAGTTTCTGAAGAGTTAAATAATTCACAAAACAAAACTAAAGAGATTTTAGAAAATGAATAAATTTTTAGATAGTCTAGAATTTATGAAAACAGCTATAAAGTGAAAGCTTATATATAATAATTATAAATAATTATCATATGCAAGCTTTATTTTAATTGTGAAGAATATTTTAAATATACTAATAGCTTTTAATTAATTTTTTATTAATCATAAAGTATTATAATTAGATCAATTTATCTGCAATGCCTTTTGTATTCTTAGAAAATTCAAACAAACTGTATAAATACTGTTCTATTGTGTTTCTCTAGGCATATTAATTGTAAAATACTTTTTATATTCAGCATATTGTTCATCTTTCAATTTTGTTATAAAAAATTTATAAACAGGATTTCTAAAATATGTAGCAAGGCAGACAGCCTGGTTAACTACTTTTTTAAAGTTAGTCGATTCCTTGAAGATTTCTCTAACATATAAATTTATTTGGTGAGTATAACAAGGCAGGAATACAATTGATTTTTCTATAACTCTTAAACAATATCTATAAAAAGCTAATATTTTTATTTTTTATTTATTTTAAAATAAAGCAATAAAAAAAAACAAAAAAGAAAAACCTAGTAGCTGTATATGCTCCTGCACTATCTGTTATAATAGATATAGTTTTAATTAATTGCATATTTAATTTAGTAAGCATCATATTAATTTTTTCAATGACTTCTACATAAGTTTTATGTTCTAAACTTATATTTAGTACTTTTCAAATGAATGGTCTCACTTTAGATATAATTATTACTGCTCCTAACAAATATTTATTCTGAATATTAGTTTATCTATCAAATATAAGAATAACACTAATTTGGTCTTTTTTTAATATAGCTAATATCACTTTATTAGATTTACTAGTAGCATCATTTAAAATTCATCTCCAAGTAGATATTAATCAGAAAGTTTAAAAAATAGGTTAAGAAATTCATACAATTCAGCAGCCTCTAGTTTATTTATCTAGTGTAATGCCTATTCGTAAAAAACTATAAGTCATAAAAGAAGTTAATGAAACTTTTTTATATTCTGAGATGACAATGTTCTAATGATATAATTATCTATTAGTTCAAAATATGATAACTGAATTATTTTTGAAGCTGAAGAATATAAAGCTAAAGATATAGTTTTAGTGTTTTCTATAAAATATAACTTGTAAGTTGTTAATAAATATTCATAAATAAGATGCTATAAATATCAAAGAAACAGAAATTTCAAGCTTAATAGATACAAAAGAGCTTCGCACCTTTTTAAACTCAGATAAGTTGAACCTTTTCACACTAGAACAGCTCATAAATAGAGCAGGAAGTCACCTGTTAATCTGGGATCAACTAAAGTACGTAAGAGGTGAAAAAACAAAAGGCCATACTCTAAGCTAGTTTAAAAAACTTGAAGAAAGAATACTGAAAGAAAATAGCTCTAAAGAAGTATAAGATCTCTACAAAGTAAAGAGTCCGAATAGAGAAGTAATAAAAGCTCAACCACAAATCATCTTCAAAGATAAGCAGAAAAGAGAATGTATACTTTTCAAAAGAAAAGGAGATCTCTATTTAGGAAAAGTAGCAAGAAAAACAGAGAAACTTGTAATAGTCAAGCACTGGAGACAATCAAGCCAACTAGCAGAGAATTGCTTACTTGACAAGTGTAACTGTTGCAACATAGGAAGTACTAGCAATAATGAGTGTTTAGTCAGCATCAGATATGACGAGGAACCTCAGGTAGTCAAGGTAAAGAAAACTAATGAAAAAGAGGAATTTTTGGATAAGGAATTAGATAATGAACTTATAGGTAATGAAGAAAATTTGATAACTTCTTGCATGAATA